AAAGACCTCTTTTCCATTACAAACCCATAGAAAACGTTGTGTACAACCTCTATTCCCTCATGTAAACCTTTATAAATGCCCATCAAGTATTCACATCCATAGATTCCCCCTAGCTCCCATTCCAACGCCCCCTTAGCTATAAAAGAGAGAGCCTTTCATTCTAACCCTTGAGTTCTTCCTCTTGGAGTGCTCTAGGCCAAGGGCTCCAAGGTGAGGCTTTTCTGGATCTTCGAATGGACTTGGAGCCTCCTATTTATACTTGGCGCACCCCTAAGAATATACCCTTAGATTCCTGGAATACATTGGGATTATTCCTTAAGAATATTCTTGGAATATTCCATGAATATTCTCATATGTAGTCGCACAGCTCGTCACCTAAATATGACTAAGCATGACTAATCATATAGAAGAATGACTAAAACATGACTAAAGCATGACTGAAAATATGACTAATCTTTCAAATTCAGTTTTTTCCCCTATCAACCCAGTTAATCATTGAAAATGCCCAAAATAACCTATTTTAGCATCTAGAGTGCCTAAAGTCGTTACATAAAGTCACTTAATAAAAATGAATATTAGATTCGTTTTTTGAGTGACTTTCACACAGAATATAAACCGTCACTGTGACAACTACAATGCAATAACAGGCATACTTCCCCACAGATGTTAGTTACAAGATCGTCTCTAATCGCCATTGGCTCTGAGAAAACCTAGAACAGAAGAAACGAAGCTTAGGAACAAAAGTGGGAGGACAAGGTGGGGAGCAGAACCGGTTCAGTGAGTACGAGTGGTTGATGACCTGAATCTTGAAATGTGTATGTTGCCACCATTGTCTTATGGGTGGTACAACTCAAAATGTGAATGTATCTAGCAGACAACAGTGCACTCCTCTGCAAGTCCAACAAATCGAGATTGGGCCTCAACCTCTCTTTTCATACTTATTGTACATTATATACCTTATACCAATATACAATATATACCTGGCTTTCAAGGGGAACCAGCACTGCGCCTTCATTTCCACCTCAACAACATGAATATCAACACTGAAGACATCAAAGCCCAGAATAACTACTGACAACCTTGCCAAAAGCCTACTTGTGTGATACCTGCAACCAAACAAGCACTGCACCTCTGCGTGAACTTGTGGCAAAACAGGAAACATCAACAATGCTGAAAACACCAGAAGCACCTGAAACACCAAAACTGAAAACAGCAAAGATGGCCTTTAGGGGCCCCCAGGGAGGCACCTGACACTGGTGGTCAAAGAAGCACTGTACAGCCATGGGGTGCTCCTGCCGCACGGCTCTCAGCACTGCCCGTGCGATGGCAAACCTCTCTGCCAGGATAGACCGCCGGCCCTGCAAGGGGGCGTCCTTCTTGATGCCCCCCTCGCCACACCAGGCCACCCCCCGGAAGCGCGTGAGGCCACTGAAGCCAGCTTCATCCTCTTCTGGCGGGAACTCCACTCCTAGGGCCTCCATCGCAGCTATGGTCTCCTGACGCAGGGTGATGATGATCGACCGGTGGCTTGTGATGGGCACCACCTCAGGGTCGCCCCTGCGCTCGAACACCTGCGGATCCGGGCAGCAGGCTTTTGAACTGAAAACAGGCCAGGTACTGCAGTGCATGAAAGTGGGAGCTGGGGCCAAAGGTCTTGGGTCCGGGGTGCATAGGTCTCAATGACGGAGTCTGCGTGGCATGACAATCAGCCTCTTCAAAAGCAAGATTTTTTGTGAGGTAGCAGCTCCAGCCACGAATAGGAGGACTGATTTGACAGGACTTGTATCCGCGAATCCCACCAGTGATCTCCCACCCCACTTCCCACATATGAGGCACTGTGTGAATGCAGAACCTGAGCCCATTCAGGCCGCAGGCATCGCGATGCCACTACCACACACATGCTACTGTGCTTCCTGCCATACTTCTTTATGGCATGTTGCTAACTCTGACCAAGAACAAAGCTGTAACACCAAGCGAAAAACTGGCAGTGTGGTCCTGAATGACTACTTCACATTGCTGTAAGAGGAGTATCACAGAAGCAACAGTGTAGCAAAACATCTAGTAATGAAATAACCATGGTGATAATGTTGCCTATGGTGTACAGTCCCATCACAGCAAAGTGCAATCTCGTTTGTAACCCAATAATGCCTGTTAGGGCTGCTCACCTTTACTCGAAAGCCCCTACGAGCCAGGTAGCTTGCGGCACAGGCACCAGAGGGCCCCGCGCCCACTACCACTGCTGTTTTGCCCTTGTACTCGCCCGTTGTCCTACAGCAACCCCCAAAGGCCACTACATTTGATGCATATGCCAAAATGTGCCTGAGAACAGCCTTAACACCTTTGACATGACGATGAGCACAGTTCCGCGCACAAGGATTGTTCCAGCATGTTTGTTCTTTTCCTTGTTTGGTTCAGCAGTTCTGAGGGACAGCAACTAGACACAAGTACTATTCCAACTTGTTGAATGGGGCTGCCTAGAGCCAAGGCCTCTGCCAAGCAGATGGGTTTTTGAGTGGCAGCCAATGTCTGCCACCAGGCACCCAGCTGGCAAGCTACAGCCAGGCAGTCAAGATTCCAGACAAATGACACCTTGGCATTAAAGGTCGTGGCACCGCGGTGCTGTAAGCACAGCAGGCCTCACACGTGTGCTGGGAACAATTTGGGAACAATGTCTCTCTGTATCAACACACCCAGAAGAGAGGGAATTCCCATTAACAGCACCTGGCGGATGGTGTGCCACAACAAGATAGAACTGGGTGAGCAGCACACAAGGGGACACTAGGCTACCCCGTTCACCCTGCTGTGCAAAAAAATACCAACAGCAAATTGCATCCAGTCCATAATAAGGATGGCATGATTCAGCCCACATTCAACGTGAACACACAAAACGGAACAAAGTGCAACTTCTCTGTCAACAAATTGCAAAGTTGCACAGTGGGACAGGGACATCCATGCCTTTCTCCCAACAGGTGGCACTGGACTGATCCACGCACTGATAAAGTTGACATTTGAATTGAACATGGTGCCCAGGCCTACTGGCGTGCAAAAGACCCACCCTGCAGAAGCTTCCACTTGCGCTTCAGCCATCGCACTCCAGTGTTCCAATGGGCTGCCAGCAACACAAAGCAGCTTAATGACACTGCAAGCAATGCTGCATTTGCATTCATGCTTGACGTGAGTCATATGAGTTGAGTGGATTTCGTTGCAGATTGAACCACATGGTTGGGCTGCCCTCCAGCCAGTCATAGGTGGATTTGCTCCCAACAGTTGCTCGCGATGCTACAAGTTAAGGAAATCGGTCGATGTGGTGAGTGGAGCCACATAGATGAGGGGTGTAGGGGTACCTGGCGCACAGCTGCAAATGCTGCTGATACCAGGAACAGGATTCAGATGGCTAAAAGCCCACATGCGAAATGCAGGAACAGCAATGGCTGATACCACAATTTGCATGCTGGCAAAGCCCACCTGCAAGATGTCTTAATGAACACATCAATGAAATGCAAGGACTGGACAACCTTAATCGTGCTGTGAAAATCCTTTAAGTGCATTCTGATGAGATCTCCTTAGCTTGATTTTGCTTTGCTAAGAAGGGTAGATTCATAACATTTGCTGTCTTTTTACATATTGACCAAAAAGGAAATGAAAATTGATCAAAGTGTCTGGCAGTGGCAAATGCTGCCTTTGCAACTATGATGTTGGGTACAGGTCCACGCGCACCCTGGTCAGTCCACCATGGTCAAAATCCAATGCCTCTCAAGGCAATAAGAATGTACTCAACTGGGGTAGCAGCGCAATGGCCAAAGTCAGGTTCCAGGGACACCACAACTGGCATCTGGGAAAAGGCGTCAGTGTACGCTTGACTGATATCCTTAATCCCATTGAATATAATGTTCCTCAACTTCCAGAGCAAATGGGGTTATCTTCAGATTCTGAGCACAGCTGCTCTGCATGACGCCATCTATAAAGAGGACAAGGCCTCTGCAACCGTGGACAGCACTGCAGCACGCTTTCCATTCTGCTTCGATAATATTGGTTTCCAATAAGATGAAACACTGCCCTTCCATGTTCAACAAACTGAAATGTTCGAACCTGCGTGGCCAGCAGGGAGGCAAAGGAGTAACCAGACTGGCGAAAAGGCCCTTGGCCAGAGGTGAATCAGAGGAACAAACTGGGTACGGATGGTCAAGGGAGCTGCAGAGATTGACTGGCTGGCAATCAGTCATCCCTGACCAGGCTGACAGGACATGCTAGCTGGTGTCACGAGTAGGGACACATCCGACAATGGGTTTCTCGTATATAGCAACAATCTTGTATCAGCAACAGTACGGGTGCATTCACTGGGGTGGTGGAACAGTGGCTGTTCTCAGGCTCCAGGGAACCTGTCATTTGCATCCAGAAAGTGGCCACACAGGTGGCTACACCGCCCTGGCCCTTGACAACACCATAGTCAAAGGATGCCCACGTCTCCAGCCCGATTGGAGCTGTCTCAGGGCTCTGATTACAACCACTCTGTGTGGCACTATCCAGTCGAGCACAAGGCTGCTGCACATCCAAAGCCCTTCTTTGGTACATCTAAGACAAGTGTTGTTTGAGATAAGTGTCCCATTCCCATGGGACAAATACATGCTCTTCTTCACACCCACAATGTGTGCCCTACAGACTGTGTAATGGACAGAGGGGGAAATCACCAAGGGGAACTTCTTCCACGCATGGTCTTGAATCGATTCTGATTATGTACACCCCAGTGGATCATGCTGGCAGCCACACTGGGTTATTGTTACTGTTGCACTACAATCCCAGTTTGAATTCCCTGCTTGGATCCGGGATGCTATCCATGGCTGAGCTGAAATTCTCTATCACAAGTGCACCTGAGCAAGATCATCCACACGTTCCACATCCTGCAAGTTTAAGCTCGTTTGGTCTGATTGCAACCACAGCACGCTGGTTGTCACTGCCAGTACTCATGGCAGCAGACAGCACCACCAATCATGGCCCAAAAGCCATAATCAGCAACTGCCCCACCACATCAACTCCCCTCCCCACTCCTTCTTACTCTCCCCCCACCCACCCACCCAAAAAAAAGACAAAGAAACCAAAGCGAACACACAAATCCACACGAGTCGGAAATTGCAGGAGAAAGCAACATACCAGGCAATGGGCATCCCCTCCTGCACCAAAGATCGTGACAATCCGTTCCATACCGCGCTAGCTTGCATGTGGTCGCCGATCCCGTAAAAGAAATGCCCATTGCGTGGCATGCCGTCCATTTCGCAACAACGAATCATCAGCAATCCACCCGCAAGTTCCCCTTTCCCCTATGTCCCACCCACCCCGAAAAACGAAAAAAGGCAATCCCACGGAGTTTCCCAGCCGTCCCATCTCAATCAACCCCACCAATCACAAAACCCGGGCAGCTCACATGGTCGCGTCCGCCCTCCTGCGCCTCCTCCGCGGATCCCGCAAGGCGGGCAGCCGCGGCGCCGCCCGCTGGCGCGATCCCGCGGCGCCGTCGCGGCTGCTCGAGCACGCGACGTCGGGCCCGGCATCGGGGCAAGGCGCGACGCCCGGCGCCCTGCGCGTGCCGAGCAGCATCGAGAGAAAGGTGGGGCGGGCGGAGAGCGAACGGTACCGGGTTGCGAGCCCGAGGGGTGTTGGACGAAGGGGAGACCGGCGCCGATTTCAGCGAGGAGGGCTGGTAGCGGAAGGGCGGGACGGCGGGCCCATGCGAACCCTGTGGCGGTTGCACGGCTCGCTCACGTAAATTCTTGGCAGCCGCGTTTTCTGAGGTGTTCGCGATACCGACCACCAGCTGGCGGCTACCTCATTGCCTTGTTATGTAACAATGATGATGCTGATGGCACAAACCACTGATGCACAACGTACGCATAAGAATTGTTGATGATGATGATTGTGACAAAAACCAAGATACTCGCGCTCATCGTCGCTTCCAGGCATGGAAAGCCAAGCCGCAACCAGATGCAAGATGAGTCTAGTCAAATGGCATTCACTGTAGCAGGTCCATCCGTGCCTCCATTGTCCCCATTTCACCATATTCAAATTCACACCATGAGACATCAGATACCACATAATCACATATCAGCTTCTTTGTCGTCCTCACAATGCTGAGGATGATCATGCAGAGGCGGATACGGACACTCTGTCCACACGCACCCAAAGCCCCCACGAACAAAATGCCCAATCCTGGCCTTTCTCCATCTCTGTCGGCGTCCCCGCATCAATAGTCTGCATCGGGAAACGTGTGGGTTTTCTTGCGTGGATGTTTGTGGTGTTTCGGAAGCGCGTGATTGCGCATTGGCAGATGTGATCGCACATTGGCAGATTGTGTAACGGTGGATTGCGCCTCAGTCACGCTACATGGTGGATCAACAACAAACGTACTTCGTATGTGTATACCAGTACGGCTGGTAGTACGAACAGATATTGTGATATGGACCTTTGTCCCATGTTACCAGGCCTCCTGAGCCCCCCACTTGAGCCCCTGCGCGGGCGATGTACTGTCCTTGCCCTTCGGAGTCGACGGCCGGCATCACTTCGATTGGCCTCGCAAGGTTTTCAAAAATGCAAAGTTTGCCCACACAAGCCACGCATTGTGGTGTCCTGCCCCATGGCGGCCCAGCCTTGCCCAGCGGGAAATATTTATACGATTCTTCGTACATTATAGCAGCTTAGTGCTCGTCTTAGCAATGTCCGTAGTGCCTAGTAAAGGTTTTAGTAGTAGAGTAGTAATTTGTTGGTATTTACTTCATGGTGGTTCGCAGCGCCACACGGTCCTGAGAGGATGAACCACTCAACAATCGCACTTATTGCGCCGGCCGGCAAGCAGTGTGGGTCGCCTGCGAAGCACTCCGTGACCGCAAAAACCGTTCCACCTGCGGTGGAGCCATCTGACTTCGCCAAACGCAGTCAGACTTCTAGAGCACTCTGTTTCCCACCGCGACAAACGGGGAGCGCAGTGGGGCAGATACGGAGTCGTTTCCCCTCCCCGCCCGCGCCCGCGATCACCATCAGGAAGCATCAACCCAACAGGGCGTCCTCGCCTGCGAGCCGCAACAAGTCGCAGTGAATGTGTTGCGTGCGCGCTGTGCTTGGGCTTTGGTTGCCATGCATAGTTGCCACGCATGGTTGCCGTGCAGCCACCTGGCTGTTGCGGCAGCTGCGATCCGCGAAACGCACGGGCACGCCAGATCGCCCAAGCGCGAGCAGACAGACACTCACGGGACCGCGAGAAGCGAAGGCGCCGGGGACCTGATCGCGAGGTGCGGCAATGAATGGCGAGCACAAGCCCGGGTGGCGATCCACTTGTCAGAGACAAAGGCGTGACAAAAGACAAGGTAAGGCAAGGAACGGGCACGGACGCGGGACCAGCAAGAGCCGCCAGCGCACGCAAGGGCGACATCGGCTTGAGCAGGTTACCCACACCAAAGAATCGGGAAGGAACATTGATGCGCGTCATGGTATACCACGAACGGTATCCGCTACGTAGCGGATTTCTCGTCCCCGCCCGAGGCGACAGGGTTGCCTGTGTGCGTGCCTACCCTCCTGGCTCCAATGTACGGGCGAGCAGCCCCCGCCTTACAGTGGCACTTGGGCCCTCGTCTGTGTCAATCCAACGCCGCGGCTCGTCGCGTCCTTTGTTTCTTTGTACCGCGTGGCCGAGGCAGAGGGCGACGGTCGCATTATATGGCGCCACATTACTGGCCCACTACTGGTCGGCACACCGAGCGCATGATGGTCAGGAATCTTCAACCATAAGTGTGCCCAGTTTGGCTTCCAATGCCTTGCGCCCTCGGGCACAAACACAGTGGCCTTGTGATTGATTTGCCCCGGTGCCTGTGATGGGGCCCGTGGGGGCCAGGGAAGCCCTGAGACTTGCGTGGTCCTTTCCAGTCAGGAAAAGACCTCAATGATTGGTGTCCAATGATTGGTGTGCAATGATTGGTGCGCGATGAGTGGTGGTTGATTATCTTGTTGTGAAAGCACAAGGGCCCGCAGCCGCCCATCGGACATGCCTCTGGCCGCACGTTACCACCATGGACAGCTGAATTTTGAGGCGGGCGGCTGTACATAAGAGCTGTGGCCGATGGCAAGGGAGAGAGGGCGTCCAAAGCACTGTACGAATCGCGCTCATTGGGACCAGGAGGGCACTCAGCGATGGCCGGTGCCGCTGCAGGCAGCACGGAATCCGATGGGTTCTGACGGGAGCGCCTTTTGGAATTTCGGCAGCCATTTTTTAGTGGTACCCTGTCGTGATTTCAGCAATAGGGGCACCGCATGAGGCCAGCTCGCCACCACTATGTGCCGGGTGTGATGAACACAGCAAGTATTCATATACGGCCAAATATACGGCCATGGCAATATACGGCTGCGGAGCGCCCAAGGTCCAGCAATGTATTGCGGCTACAGAAACACAGCGCGGTTCTATGATAAAACAAAGTTTCCACAAATCATCCAATTTTGTTGATAATACGCCTGGAACACTGCAAAGTACGGTAGCAGAAACTGCAAGAAATCCGCGAATTGCTGCCAGCGCATGTTCGACAACAGCTCGTACAAACACGCCACTGGTACAGCACTGCATTTCATCATACTGTGGCGGATTTCACCACAAAATCAACGTGATGCAGCAATGAAACGGTATAACACTACTTTCTCTCGTTTGCACAGCCTGTGTCAAGAAGTCCCACAGAGAATGGTTAATGTTTCTCACCCCCAGATTGAAAAATTCTGGTCCCCCAACGCATGGAAGCTGTGAGCGTGAGTGTGTTCATCATGACCGGGATTGCTTCAAGCCACCGCTGAAAGTGTATGTGGATCAAGGATGAGATTCGAACAAAGACAATGCTGCATACACATGCCCCTGCGCATCCCTTTGGTTGTGGCCAATACGGCACAGCCTGCCTTCGATACCACCATAAGTGAAACTGGCTCCTCCGCCAAGCAGTGGTACCACGCATCTGTTGCTATTGCTCAAGTTCTGCGCTGGTGGGACATTCGATTGAAATGAAGTCAAGTGTCCAGCGAAATGCGCATTGAAAAACTGCATGTTCATGAAATTCATTCAAACGTCGTAAGTTTTCCTCAGTTCGGGTGAGGAGAGACCCAGGCCACATTCCACTCACCATTGTCTTCATCTCGTCTCCTGTAGTGGCTCGTCAGCCATGTTCATCCTCTGCTGCAGTGCTCTGCCTTGCTTCAACCCGGTGCAAACGAATTCAATTGCACATTGACTCGCTCTCCTGCAATTGCTTGTTCCAGTCTTGCAGAAGTTGTCAGCTTCGTCCCAAAATTGACAAACGCTGACGCGTTTCCAGGCCGCATTTGGGCGTCACGGACTGTCAAATGGCACAGGAGTCCCGAACCTGGCGCCGCGGCGGCGAAGCCGCCGCGGCGCCAGGTTCGGCGGTTCGGCGGCCGCCTGGCCCGGGTTGCCGCCGGACCATGCCCAACCGGGTCCAGACCCACGGGGGCCACGTGGACTTAGGCCCCCTGCCCCACCAAGGGGCAACTGGACGCCACTGCGGCTCGGCGTTTGGGCGGATCGGCGGTCCACGTCAGCCCCCGGTCCCCCCCCCTCCCCTTCGTCTCGGCGGCTCGGCGGTTCGGCGGATCGGCGGTCCACGTCAGCCCCCGGTCCCCCCCCCCTCCCCTTCGTCTCGGCGGCTCGGCGGTTCGGCGGATCGGCGGTCCACGTCAGCCCCGGGTCCCCCCCCCCCTCCCCCTCCCCCCCGGCCTCGGCGGCTCGGCGGCTCGGCGGATCGGCGGTCCACGTCACTTCCCCGTCCTTTTGGTATCTAAGGCCTAGGCGGCCACGCGGATCTTCGGTTCGAGGGTCCACGCCGCCCCCCGGTCCCCCACCCTACCTGGGGTGACCGTTGGTCCTGACTTGCGGCACCAACGATCATGGCGGCTGGGCTGTCAGAGGGTCCCTGCTGTCCATCGAGCCCCCCAGCGCGACGGGCCGGCCGGTGGGCGTTGTCGGAAGGCAGGTACTGCTGCCGGTGATGGATCCTTGGACCTCGCATGGGCTTTGCCAGGCACGCTGGTTGAGTCGCGGCGGCCTGCGCATGTCCGAGTGCCATCCCCTTGGGCCGTCGGAAGGCAGGATCGGCGGCCGGCGAGGATCGTGCGGAGGCCGCAACACCGTGGGTAGGTACCCGGCATGAAGCCAGGTAGGCGGACAGACACCGCGGGAGGGAATGACGAAATTCGTCGTGGTCTCAGTAACTGGCGTTCATGACAGCCTGTCCACCACAAGCGCGGAAGCGCTGGCGGCCTGGGTATATGGGAGTTGGAAATAGATTCCTGTGGCTGGTCGGAGGCCAGCCGCAGACCTAGTGTTGGAAGTCAGGAAGTGGGAGCGTGATACCTGGAGTGCAAGATGGCCCGGCCCCTCAGCAGCGGGCAGCGGTGGAGCTGTCTTTGCCCCTATGGAAGGTTGGGATATGTTTGGCGTCTGTGGAAGGGGGACCGCGTACGGCCGGTAGTGTGCGAACGGATCTTTGGCGGGAGGTTCAAACGCGTGGCAGCCGCAATTGCCACAACTCGAGTATCGACAGCTGCACGAGTTCTAACTACAGCGTTCCACCGTTGGCCAAGGGATGCACCACAATGACCAGCAGTGCCCTTGTCAAGGGGATTCCGGGTGCGCGACCAGAATGGTGCGCAGCGGTGTGAATATGTCCAAGCGCACTTTCACCTCCTCTTTCCTGATGGCAAACCTGTTGGAGGGACTCGTGTGGGTCGACAGATAAAACCTGCCTGACTGACTTGCCCACCGTCGCCTGTGTCCGTGTACAGGAGATCACCAACCCATATGTCTTCTGGTACGAGGCTGCAGTGAAGGCCGACCCTCCATTCATCCCTCTGGGGCTGGCGGCCTGCCAGGCATTCGCCATGCATTGTGTGGAGGTTCGGCGGTGGCAGGAGCTGAGGAAGCCAGGGTCTGTAAAGCATGAACCTGTGTTCAGCAACTTCAGCCTTCCCGATCATGAGGTGAGTGCCAAGGCGCGTGTTGTTGGCCCCATTGCCAATCAGGTTATGTGGAGGATTGACACTGTTTCGTTGCATACGCATATCCATCCTCTGCTATTAATCTCCGAGTTTGTCCATAGACCCTTTCCTTCCATAATTTCTGTAAACCGCACTTTGCAAAAGGAGTTGCAAATGTGGTGCAGTGCTGTAGTATCGCCTGCCCTTCGTTCGTAAGGGTGCGCTGTGCATCATTTGTTGTTATTAAGCCACCAAATGCAATGGTCACTCCCAAAACACTGAAGCCCACTCCAGGTGATTTCATCGTATTGCCCAGTGGGCTGCTGGGAGATATCATCAACGGTTTTGGCTCACTTCAGCCCTGCAAATTGGGACAGAATGCAGACTGAATGTCTGCTGAACCTGCCATTAAGTTTACATCGTTGCAGTTATTCATGGGCATCCCGGTTCTCATGAAGTGGCTGTGCTCAAGCACCAAACTACGGTTTGTATTTGGGGTGTGTGTTTCGAGGACACAGTGCCCTTTTTGAAGCAAGTGCAGCGCTGTTTGTGTTGGCTGCGCATTTTCGGTCTTGAAATGTCAGGCTGAAGTATAATTCGAGTAAAACAAATTTATTCCCACCACTGTTGCCAAAGCGCCAGTCCCACCACAAGTTGCAGCTTGGCGTATGCAGTGGAGGAACTCAGGCTTTACTTCCCGAATAAGCCTCAAGTCATTCCAGTCTCATGCCCTTATCCTGGCCTGCCCTGGGCACAGCATCTGTTTAGTCCTTATGGAGTAAAATCATCGAATGTGATAGGGCATTGCCATTTCACAGTTTGACAACATTGGATGCTGCTCATGTATGCAGGTGTGTGTTCTCAATTTCCTTTCTTGCTATCTCTGAACAGATTGCCAACTTGCAGTGTTCCGAATGCCTGCATCAACAGGCATCTGATATTATGGTGTTATTGTGACCAGCCAGGCTACCCTGGTGGGATCTTTGCCCCCTTCATCCCTGTCACAGCGAGGAGCTCAAGCCGAAGGAGCTGAAGAACGGCCAGCTGGCCATGGTGGCTTCCAGTGGATTTGTGATGTCTGCTCAGGTCAGTTGCTGTGCTCGCTCGCAATGCAAATTTAATCCCTGTCTCACAAGCTCGTGTTTACCCACGCGCAACTCCCAGTTCCCACAAACACAGGTTGAGCAGTTGATCTGAATCATACTTGGCTTGTGTTCGCATCAGGTTTCGCGTTTGAACCCACTTGCTGCGTTGGAGAGCCACCTGGACGACCCCCTGGGCTCCACCATCTTCTCCAAGTCTGTTGTCAAGCCCACTTCCTACTATGGCCCAGGCTGCGCCATCGCAGACTTTGTCAAGTTCTATGGCATTGGGATCCCCACCCCATGCTTCCTGGGCGGCCTGTGGCCATGGACCTTAGGTTTGGAGAATGTGTAGAGCACCTGAAAATGTACATGGTTCTGGAGTGGCATGTGGTTCGGGTTGGCGAGTCCTGAATGCAAGGAGAAAATTTATGGCTCCTTCACAACTGGATTCCTTTCTTGATTCCAGGACTGGCTCTCCTGGTCAACGACAAGACGATGTCCAAATCGGTTATCAAAGGGACTCTGGTCGTCCCCTAGCACTCCTCTATGGCCTTTTGGCCCTGTTGTATGAACAACAACACTGCCAACCGAAGGTCTCGGAGTGCACAAAGCATCGGCCAGACGGCTGCAAGTCGCACATTTGGCAGGAGCACTATCGCAAAAACGAACAACAGCACCACTGCTGCAAAAGGAACAGTCCGGGCGTTGTCGCAAAAAAGAACAACGTTGTGGCAAAAACGAGCAACACTGTCGCAAAAAATCGTGACCTTCTGGACATGTTGTAAATGTGGTGCAACACTTGACAACACCAATGCACATAGGTGATCATTCTGACGAGGGCGAGGTAACGTGTACTGAATTGGCAGTACCCAAGATGTCGAAAAGCGAACAAGATCATTCCCTCATCCAGCATTTGTTTGTCCACCAACATGTCGACACCTCTGTTGAGACCTATACCACTAAGAATTATGTCATTTGCTAAGTGGCTGGACCGTAGACCGCAAATCGTGGATTAGCATTGAATCCCCATTACCGAAGGAATGAACACGTGTTCGCGACGCCGCATAATGACCACCGCTTCACTGGGTGGATCACTTCTGCTTGATGGCTTGCGACTAGTGGGCATGTCAAAGTGTGAATCGCTGCTTGAGATTGAAAAAGTCTGAAAGTACCGAATAGCCATTTCTGTGATTGAATCCTGGTTTGGAATTTGGCTTTTGAGGTAGTTTTCGATCACACTCATGTTTGTTGAGGACAACATGAGCTTGATGAAAGAATGTCCTGCAATTCACATAGAGATGCCTTGGTCATAGTGTCTTGTCCGCAAGATGCAAGGGTGTGTTGTGGGGAAGTTTCGGACGTGTGTTTCCCGAAGCTTTACAGCATTGTGACCACCCTCTACTTTCACTTTGGATTGCAATATTTGTTGTACTTGCACTTTGCAGTGGGGGTGTTTGGAAATGACCATATGCAGCACCTGAGTAGTCAGAATTATGTTGTTTTGAATTCTGAGTGAAAGGGAAGCTGTGGCATGTTTCAGATGTGGGCTGCACCTTAGTGATGAGGTGGCATGAGGGTTGAATTGTTTCATGGGCATTTGTGATTATGACAATCCTTAGAGGTCGAAAATGGGACATTGTATCAGATAACGGAAATTGGCATGAACGTGACTGGTCATTTTAAGCGCACCCCAGCCTGTTGGGGGCGCAGCAACCTGTGCTGTAAACCACGCCTTGGGCTCTGTGTCGCCTGACCATGTGAGCGCCAATGCGTGGGATGGCGACCCCTCCAATCGCCTAGCTATTGCCGCTTCTCTGGCTTACTTCAAAGAGAACATGCCCATCGTGCTATGCATGATGGTGCGTCTCCTTCAACACACAACTGTCCATATTTGTTGGTGCAGCAAAATTACGCCAGGACTGGCAACTGAATAGCAACAGCCTTTCGTGCAAAATGTCGGTAAGGTCCGAAAGGCTGCACTTGTGCGCAACACCGCAATTATGTGTTTTTTTGGGCAAAACGGTTGTGCTCAAGATTGGCGTCAGAAAACAAGGCAATTTGTGCGCAACATCGCCATTTCTGAGTACACAAAAAGAGAAGAGGATGCATGTTCTATTGTTTTCCGTGACCCCCTTACCGACATTTTGCACGAAAGCTAGTTTAGCCAGCAACAGAGGCAGAGCAAAAGGCCGAGTCGTACAAATCATATGGTATGTTTGGCTTGTGTCGTGAGCCGAACTGCAACTCGATGTCCACAGGAGTTGAATGAAGGCTATTGGGCACTACCAGGGATAAGGATAATTGCCATCCAAGAATAGAGAATGAAAGTTGTGCAAAGTGTTGCAAAGGACTGCCGTTCATTTTGCTGTGTAGGGCAACTTTCCATGTTATGAATAGACACAATGGGTGAAAGTACGCATAAACAAGGCAAACATATTGACGCCTGAAGACATCGACGTGCCTGAGCGTTGAGGCAAAAATTGGGACAAAAGGTGAAAGATTCAAATTCAGAATGTGAATGCCCGCAATGCTTGCAATTTTGTGACGCCTGATGTGCTCCTACACTATCAGAGAGTGTCATGTTTGCGATGCCACATGCGACAGCATTTGACGCTATTTGATGCTTTCACACACATTTTTCCGCCTTCTCAATCAATGTGATTGCGCCTTTTCGCATCATACTGGCATCCCAGCTGTCATCGCAAAGATGCCATTTTCTACTGGTGCTGAAAGTATCTGATCAATAATATACTAGCAGATATTTTGTAAAACTACTTGCAGTGCATGCAAAAATACCATCATTGATGGACTTAGATAAAAGGAGACAAGTTGTAATAGTGTATGAGGTATATTAACACAGCGTATTAGTCGGGCTTGGTTTTTACATTTATGTTTACACTTTTACTTATACGTTTTTACGTGTGAAAACGTAAATTTGCAAAAGGGCCTATTTTTATATGGCTATTTTTACGTTTTTACGGCTGCCTGGGACGCCCAGATTACACGATGGAAGTTGCGTACAATGATCAGCCCTCCGCCGTATCCAACACCCACAACACAGTGTCCACCTCGCCCATGACAAGGGCGATGATGGTGTTTGACAAAAACTCGTTTTCTGCCCCTTCCAGGGCGTCAAGCTGCCACTCTCTGGAATCTATAAGTCTGTATGTACTATCCTTACGTACACCAGGCAATTTTTACGTAGTATTTACGTATTTTTACGCGTAAAAACGTACAAACGATCAGTTTTTACAGCGCAAAAACCAAGCCTAGTATCAGTAATGGTATAGTACGGCACAGTATGTTAATTACATTTGCCAATGATAAATCACTATAAGAGATCACATATTGCATGCAATGCTCAAAGTTCGCATTCTGTGGCTACGGACACAGGAGTGACTGCGTTTGGAATGGCAGATTGATTGCACGAACCACCACGCGATCAACACACTGTCCCAAAGCTGCGTTGCCACAAAACAGCATACAAATTGTGCAGCGCAAAATTCTGAAAGATGCTTGGGATGCACTTAAGACATCTGTTGTACATCAAGCAAATCTTCCTTGCCCCAAACTCCCAAGCCACTCGCACCAGTTCAGAATGACCGTTAGCTGCATTGTCGTGGGCACAGGCTGGCTGCTTATTTGTGTATGGAGGCCCATGAGGATTGCCACCACTACCTTGTGTCGGGGGCCTGCTCCGCTGCTACTGTAAAGTACTGACGGGATACCCAACTGCCCAGTGCAATAGCGTCAATTACCTGGACCATGAGGACCACAGCCCTCTGGATGTTGTCGAACGTCTCCTTGATCAGGCTCTTGGCTGCGCCTAGTTGGGAGACGTCCAGCTCCCAAAGGAGGCCCTTGGCCTCTGCCTTCGATTCGGGTTGCGGCTTAAACGCAGCCCGGGGGCCCACCGCGAGCGAGGCCTGACTGAGGAGATATGGGGTCGCGGCTGGCCACTTCGTGCCGAAGGCTGCAACCAGACCCGCGAAGAGCCTGCCCACAACCGCTCTATATATGGAGCCATACACCGTGGTGTATATTATATAATAGAACCCGTGGATGCCACCATCCGTGTCTTCGAATGTCGATGGATCGCGAAGGGCGTATATGATGCCTGGGTGAGCGGATCGATCCTTCGGTGTGCCATGTTGCATCCGTCGCAGGGAACGGGACAACTGCGCACGGGTGCTGTGAATGGCTTCCAGCCGTAAACCTCAATGGCCCGGCGCCTCTTTTGCAGGGTGCCCACGGCGAGTGTTTGGACCCTTTGGAAACGGGCGCGGGGCCTCTCCACAGCTTGCAAAACAGGTGCCAGCCTGTTGTGCAATATGTACAAGCACAGGCTCTTGCCCCTTTTCCAGGGTGCAGTCACGAGTATTTGAACCGTTTTGAAAACGGGCACGGGGCCCGTCCACGGCTTACAGAATAGGCGCCGGGCCTGTTGTGCAATGTTTCCAAGCACAAGCTCTTGCCCCTTTTGCAGGGTGCTGTCGCCGAGTGTTGGAGCCGTTTGGAAACCGGGCGCGGGGCCTGTTCTGCAACCTGTACACGCAGAGGTTCTTGGGCCTTTTGCAGGGCGCAGACGCCGAGTGTTTGCACCGTGTGCAAAACGGGCGCGGGGCCTCTCCACAGCGCCTTTTTTGCATAAGGTACAGGCCGAGTTGTGCACCGCTTGGACAACAAGCAAAGGCATGTTGGCAGCGTCGTGACGACGGCACATATCGCAACCGCTGTCTAGACTCCATAACAACAGTTGGGTCAGTCCCTAATGGACAACGCAGGAGAAGACACAACGGAGGGCAACCGCAACAAGAAGCCCACAGGCATCGTAAGCATGCGTGGTGATGGGGATGTGCTCGATCGACAGATCGATCCACGCGGGGATCGTTCAATGGTGTGCGCCTGTGCTCGGCCTTGTCGTGTGCTCCCGTGCCTTCGCTTTGCGGCAACCCGTGGTCGTATTCCTTGCCTGCTTTGCACGTGCCTGGGTTGTGGGATCGCTCCAAGCCGCGGACAACAGGGGGCTGACCGACTGACTGACGGTGCCTTGGGCGTCTTGCGGGATATGAAATAATGCTGAATTGCATTCAGCGCTGCTGCGGCGCTTGAAGTACTGGGGAACATAGCGACCCGTCTACATTTAGTGACCCCTTAACCAGCATGTCGGTGGGGTCCTGTATTGTGATGCAATAACATGTACGTATATTGGTAGTGGTTGCTGCCGATGGCTGTGTGGTGGGATGTGCCATTGCAACTGTCAAACTATTTTGAAACTGTTGACGCACATATTCCTCGGTTGGCATCAATTCGAAAACTATACTTCTTTGCTGAAGCAATGTCTTTGTCAGACAAAGAGCTCCGTGCTCGTAGCAGAAATGCCAGCAGTGATATGTGGTTTGTACATTGCACTAGCACCAAGTGTCATGAATATCGAAGGATCTCCTGCGCCAAGCAAAGAAAGCAGGGCTGGCGGTGGTGGACATCGTCACACTGTTGGCTACATACTTCGAGACTACCCTGCAATACAGAGGCTGGCACAACATACGAACACGGGTTAATGTAGACATCGATCCCTGGCTTCCAGATCTGTACGAAGTTCTCCGAAGGACCTTCCAGGACGTTGCACCCCAATATTCCACACTAAGAAGGCTTACACGATATGAAATCGAACTACTGGTTTTGGGCATGGAGAACAAACATGGTGTCAACTGGGCAGAGATACCAAACATCCGAAATAAGGTTTCAACATCCCTTCACAAAAATAGTCTGGCCTTTGGAGTCG